ACGATGGCAGTTTGCACCACTTTCTGGGTAATGTAAGGAGCGAGGAGAAAGAAACAATCATTTAGAAGTAAATGGCAAGCACCTATTATGTCTGCAGGGCTTCTGGGAAACTCGTACAAGGAATTGAAAAGATCTGAAAATCAATGCTCACTGACCATATGGCACAGTGGAAATGAGCGGTTTTATTTAAAATTGGATGCATTAGGAGAGAGAGAGGCCTATACTGCTGACTAGTGTGGCATTCGAAAACTTAATATTTGACCCATTTTTTTCAGTTCTCAGTTCTTTTTTGGAATTGTGTGTGATATATTTATAATTTTCTAGGACACCTTGACATGAGTGTTTCCGTCTTTGTCTTTGCCTTTTTTTTCTGCTGTGTGTTTGGAATCCCACAGGAGAGAACTGTCACCAGAAATCCATGATGGTAAGCAACCATGCAGAGGGAGGGGGAGGGATGCCTTGCTAGTTGTTTAAACCAAAGTGTAAGTGAATAGTGTATGTATGGTTGAGCATGTTTGTGTATTGAGTGTAGAGATTTGCACTGATGAAAGGTCAAGATGAGTGCACTCACCTGTCTGTCAAATATACACCACTAAGATTAGACTACCCTCTCGTCACAGATGCTTGCAGTACTGTCAGTTACCACCAAGGGGAGCTCTGAAGCTGTGATCGCTTGTTAGGCATATAGTATACCCATTTCTCCCCCCACCCCTCCCCTTTCTCTTCTCTCTCTTGGCGGCAAGTCCCTATCACCTCACCTAATTCTGTCTGCTTCATTTTATCCTGCACAAAGCTGACAAATTCATAGGTTTTGTGGAGAAAGACAGCAAATATACACATGCAGAGGGAGAGGGAGAGTCAGAGAGACGGCCAGCCTTGTAAGAGCTCACAGGCTTTACTTATTTTGGAGCTTGTTGATGCAGACGTAGATATGCATGACGTTGCAAGAGACGTTAGAACAGTAGACGCATAATGAATGAGACTTTGAACACCACTGGTTCAGTACGATGACCTTAGCTAGTATTTGGTAGCTCGGTGGCTATATTTAAATATATCATGTTAACTTCATTAGCCAGCTGAAGACAAAGGTTTCAATTGTGTAAGTGACTGTTCACATTTTCAGCTGCATTTAAGGAACAGATAATATAATTTAAAGTACTTAATTTATGTAAAGGTCACCAAATGTGCACAGGCTGATGAACCAGTCTCTACAATTCTTATTTATCAGTAATCACACACGTGGTGTTATGTGCAGGAAATTTTAAATAGTATTAGGTGAATAGGATCAAATAAGTATAACATTCACCTTAATCCTCATATACTCAGACAACTGTTTTATATTTGTATACAATTATTACAACCATTTCCCTTTTCCAACTCTATTAGGAAAACCTGCAAAATTTAAATGTATTGATTCTACAACCAAAGCTTTTAAAAAACATTATGATACTTTGTAAAAATGTAAAACCTGAATGCATTGTTTTGCAAATTTAACACACTGATATTTTATTCACATAGAAAACATATCAACTATTTAAACTGACTAAATATTAATATGTTATTTTATGACAAATATTATGTTGCTTTGAATTGAATGGCAGAAAAACATCTCAAAAAAGTTGGGACAGAGACAACAAGGGCTGGAAAACGAAGTGGTACTAATAAGAAACAGCTGGAGGAAGCTAATTGCACCTAATTAGGTTAATCCTGTAGACAACAGGTCAGAAATGTGACTGGTGTAAAAGGAGCATCTTCGAGAGTTTCTCAGTAGTAGTAAAGAGGGCAAAGGTTTAACAGTCTACCAGTCACTTTCAACATCTCGTTCTGTACAGTACATAATGTCGATAAAGATTTAAAAATCTGGAGAAATCTCTGTGCGCAGGCTGAAGGCTGAAAATCCCGTAGAAGAAGACGGTAATCTTCAGATCCTCAGTTCACTGTGCCATCCACAGTTAGGTTAAAGCTCTATGAAAGAAGATGCTATATGTGAACTGGATCCAGAAACACTGCCTTGTTCTCTAGTGGGAAACTGTTCTGTGGTCAGATTTGCTGAAAATGTAAGATTCTCTTTGCTAAACAAAAGGATGTTACATCCTCTGGTATAAAGAGGAGAAGGACCTATCCAGTGTATTATCAGTGCTTCTTTTAGGGGTGAATCATAACCTTGGAACTGGAAGCTTGTTGGTAAGGCACAATCATTGGGTAAACGTATTTACAGGATGACGTCTTTTTCAGGGAAGGCCTTGTGTATTTCAGGCAAGAAATGCTAAACCGCATATTGCATCTATAACAACATGGCTTCACTGTAGTAGAGTGCTGAACTGGCCTGCCTTCAGGACCATTTATCAATTGAAAACATTTGAGGCATCAAAACTACAATAAAGAACACCCATGGCCCTTTTCCAAAAATGTTTTGAGGGGAGTGCCTTCAACTTCAAAATGACCCAGTGCCTTTTTCTAATAGTTTTTGTTTCTAGTTTTGTTTAGTTCAGTTTTCTTTTTTGAATAAAATATGGGTTTATGAGATTTGCAAATCATTGTATTCTGTTTTATGTAGATTTTACACAGTGTCCCAACTGTTTTGGAATTGGGATTGTAGTCCAACTTATTAAACTGTAAGTAAAATTGTCAAAAAAAATATTTACTTCATTATTTGAGCTTAAATTGGCCAACTGTTGATAGACTATGGTAAAAACTTTGGTCATTTCTGACTAAATTTCAAAATTGAATGCACTGAATAGGACTGTAAGAACATCTGATGCCACACGCCACTATTCTACACGGAAACATGCCTGCAGTCATTGATCTGCTGGGTCAGAGGTGGTCAGTGTCATTGATATATCTGTTTAAGTGTCTCTTCATGGGAAGTGTCCAGTGTAAACGTAGAGCTCTTCAACATTAGTGCCTGTTAAGTCAATTACAAAGATCCACTGGGGATTCAGTCTGGACTGTCAGTCAATAGAGACTGCCTCGAGAACATGATGTGGGTGGTTAATTTTTATACATTAAAGATGTATAAAAACTTTACGTAACAGAAGAAAACTGTTAATATTTATTACTCAATATTTTAAAACAAATCTAAAAAGTTTTGTATAAAGTTTTCTCCACCAAGTTATAAAAATAAAACAATGTACGTTCTTGTAGAATATCTAGTTCTCTAGACATGCTTACTAGTTTCAAGACACAGATGTATTAAATATATGTTATGAGGGTATCTTGACTGACTATAACTCAATGTTTTTTTTCCAATCGAGAAAAGATTCTCATAGTCAGCCGACTTGCCAGTGCGCAGCTTGAGCCCGTTGCGCTGCAGTGCTGCTCCGGATGGGCGTCATGAACAGGAGTAGACAGTGTATACAGTTGTAATCAGAGGTTACCACACACCCATAAAGCTAATTAGCCTGTATTTATACTTTTGATCCTGTGTGGATTAGAAAAAAAAGAAACATGTACGCATTCCACGCGGGAAAAAGACCAGCTTAAAGAAATCATTAACAGCCAAAATTGATCATGACATTCATGCCCATAATGAGTGGATGTAAACCTCTGATCAGCTAGGCGTAGACATACAAACCTCCAGACAGACAATAATGCTGTCAGTGTAGCAAGTGCGTATGTGCATGGCATATGCCATATTTACCTAATGATCATTACGGTGCAGTAGGTGGTAGGTGGATTGGCTCATGCTGTAAATTTTTAAACTTGTGTTGGCTTTCCAAACTCATTACATTAGTCTCGCTCTGCTGATTACACATGGGTCCGTACATGTGTGCATTTCTGAGCCAGGGTGTCTAAATGGAGACTGTGCGTTTCCGAGTGTGTGATCCTTTGCCTTTATCCTAAGGCAAGTACAGTATATGCTAATAAAAGATCAGCTTTACAAATGTCGGACTAACTTACCGCACTGAAATGTCCAAGAATATTACTGCAATACGACTCAAATTGCAGTGTGGTTAGCATAAAAAAAATTCCCTATAATTTAACAGCACTTATTCCACATTAAGAATCACTTTGCTGTCATGCTTTTTGTACAACAAGAAGTTCTCCACTGTCTAGAAGTGGCTTAATACCACTGACTGCTTTTCACAGATATTTTTGCAGACAAACATAAAGAAGCTGATGCACCATCTTTGTGTTAATGTATTCAGGCTAGGCTTTTTTGCATCCAGACTGCTTACAATGCCCATTATTAGTTCTGACAAGCCATTTATTCCAATTACAATTCCTCCCAAAAATGTGAAGAAGTAAGCACGGCAGGTGTAAGTGAAATTGATTATATCTTGCTGCTCCTATCTGCACCTGCCAATTGATGACTTGCTGCATCCAGAGGGTCCAGTATTCAGAGAGTTCACTGTCGATGCACGTCCTTTGTGTTCTCTAGCATACACAGACCCACAGTATGTCACAGAGATTACACACAAACCTGTGTTCTTTTGTTTTCCATTAGCTACCATTAAAGGTTTGCAAAGATGTGTTAGGTAATTTGTTCAGAAAGGTCTTAAGAGCATTGTCACCTTTGATAAATTGTGGTGCGTTCCATTTGTGTACCTGAGTAAATTATGTGCATACATACTAAGCAGAGTACTTCTCCTCCTGGTTCATTAATAAGAACATTGCATAAATCTTTGGATTTCTTTGATTTCATGCATGTTAACTATAATGTTATCTATCACATGTTTTTCATATCTTTTGCCTTTGCATGACAGGGGCATGAAGGTGACATGTATCATTGGTCACCTGGTTCATCTTTGAAACAAAAAGCATTAAAATAGTAATAGAAAATAGAAAAGGTCCTCCTGTTCAACTTGACCCTGCAGAAAAGAAACTTCTGTTATGACAGAAAGGAAGAAAAACAAGCAAGAGAGGAGAAAGGTAAGACAACGACTCAACGTGTTCTCCATATGCTGAGAGAAAAAAACAATGATTCAAAGATAGCGTGTGTGGCAAACAGATGCACAATCCTGACTGCTGCGGCCTCGGATGATGCAGACAGTGTTTACCTGGCGCAGGTTGCGGGTGACGCGCACATCATGCCAGGCGTTGTCATTGAACTTGCCGTTGACAGGCTCCACCAGAGCCTCAAAGGCCCCCGAGCCCAGGTTGATGACTAGCCAAACCGCGCCGCTCTTCAAGGAAAGATTTACATAGTCAGCCGACTTGCCAGTGTGCAGCATGAGCCCGTTGCGCTGCAGCGTTCGGAAGGAAAGCGTGATCTCGTCGGTGCTGCTCTGGATGGGTGTCATGGACAGGTCGTAGCAGAAGAACTCGTTGCCCTTGAAGGTGGCTACTGACTCTTCCTTGCCTGGAAAAAATAAAGTGGGGGGGAAGAGAGGTAGGTCTGTAAGTAAAAGGACATTTCTGTTCAGGAGTTAAACCTTTGAAATTAGCAGCATGTGTGTATTCAAAAATCAGTCATTCTATTATTAGTTTACTTTTTATGTGGGGAAAAAACAGACATCAGAGGGTTAATTTAAAAGATGGCGCTTTGCAATATGAAGCTACAAATGACAAATTATCAAATGAATATCCTAAATATCTATTAAGATGATCTAAAATATAACACTAAACACAACATTTTTGCTCTTTTAATTCATATTAACAGCGCAAGAATCACAGAATATCTAAAAAGCTTCTGTCATGTGAGATGTGTCCAGTACAAAGGCAACATCAGCATGGTTATTTTGTTGGCTTCATTTTTTATTTTATTTCTTTTGGTGTACGACTTTTATACATCGAAAATCTACAGAACTGAACTGTTAGGATTAAAGATTGGTACATCAAATCTGCTCAT